ACTGGAGAGTAGGGTTAGGATTCAAAGTGACCTAGACAAATCAGAGACTTGGGCCAAAGGAAATCTCATGAGGTTCAACAAGGACAAGGGCAAAGTCCTGCACTTAGGACGGAAGCATCCCATGCACCACTACAGGCTGGGGGCTTACTGGTTGGGCATCAGCTCTGCAGAAAAGGACCTGGGGGGTACAGTGGATGATAAGCTGAATATGAGCCAAAAGTGTGCCATTGGTTTGGGGTTTTTTGGAAAAAATACACACACACACACACACACACATCATCTAGCATAAACTTTCCATCACACACCTTAAACTATATTAAGAAACCATGCACCCATTAGAATAAACGCACCCACTCCCTTACACCCCCATGTACCCACCCGCTGCCCTTCCCTAACCCAATCACAGCCCCTTAGTCCAAGCCCCAGTTCAGGGTTTACATTCTCAGTTCGTTTACTGTCCTTGTTGCTGTCAGTTCCACTGCTGCTGATTCTGAGGTCTTCTTCGTTGCTAAGAAGGCTAACGGCATACTGGGCTGCATTGGTAGGAGTGTTGCCAGCAGGTCAAGGGAAGTGATTATTCCCCTCTATTCAGCAGTGGTGAGGCCATGTCTGGAGTACTGTGTTTAGTTTTGGGCCCTGCTACAGAAAGGATGTGGACAAATTGGAGAGAGTCCAGAAGATGGCAATGAAAATGGTTCTGAGTCTGGGACAAATGACATGGGAGAGGTTGAGGGAACTGGGCTTATTTAATCTAGAGAAGAGAAGACTGAGAGGTGTATTTAATAGCAGCCTTCAACTACCGGAAGGGTGGTTCCAAAGAGGATGAAGCTCAACTGTTCTCAGTGGTGGAAGATGACAGAACAAGGAGCAAGTCTCCAGTTGTGGCAAGGGAAATTTAGCTTAGATATTAGGAAGAACTTCCTCACTAGTGTAGTACAAATACATTAGATTTTAGACATAAGGCCTAAATTTAGACATGATACTTTATTTTTGCAATATGCTTCTGTATACAACATGGCTTGTCAATAGCTTCTGCATATAGGTTAAAGGCAGCTTTGCACATAGAGTTTCACAATCGCACCTGTTCAATGACCTAGAGTTACACGAAGATAAGGGGTTACTAAAGGACACTGAGTTTACCA